GAACAGCAGAGAAGGAATAATATGAATGTGAAAGGGGTTCGTTTTCTTGGCTGGTTCGATCGTCATCAACACAAGAAGGAGGAGGAAGGATTGACGAATGGAGCTGGGGAAGGACGAAAGTGGTGACAAGGGGCTTTGGGGAAACACCCACTTCGGTGGCTTTTGTTCTCGGTGGTTTTAAGGTACGTGAACGGGGGCTGCTCTGGCAGCTCCCCTGATCTTCTTCTTTCATTTTTTTTATTGTTATTGATCAAAATTTATTGGGCAGAAATTGATAGAATAAAAAAATAGATGTTTGGGATTGTTTGATAGAAATCAATGGGGATGATTGAAGGCAGTGAAAGCTATGAACAGGTGAAGGGCGTTCTTTTATTTCACATTTTAACTTTTGATTGTATAAAAAAAGAATTTGATCCTTAGATTTGATTTGATTTTAAGTTGAGTTTGAGTGTTAATTCTTCCTTTCCTCCTTGAATGTACAGTAGATGGAATGGCTTCAATGGAAGGATAACAGGAACTTTGCTTGCGGTTTTGTTTAGGATAAAGCTCGGAAGTAATCAGCGACTGGTAACTGGTTGTACAATAACAGGCATAAGTTGTATTGTATAAGGTTTTTTATTTTTATTTTTATTTTTATTTACTTTTTATTTTTTTGTGTGTGTATTTTGTGTATTATGTATTTGTTTCATTATGTAATGTGTGTGTATTGATGTATGTTTTAATTAGGTATGTATTTGTGTTTATTTGTTTGATTTTGTATATATTATTGGTGTTTTCCTCTTGCATATATATATATATATATATATATATATATATATATATATATATATATATATATATATATATATATACACTTAAAACTTTTACAAATCATTTCTTAATAAATATTATCTATTTCCAATTATCATTAATTTCTTATATAACTTGTATAATACGTATATATAACTTTAAACTCATATGTTAGGAATGTAAAATTTATAAATTTGTCAAACCTTGTTTTGTTAAATTTAAAATAAACATATATGATGTATATTTATAACAATATAACCAACCACGTGTAATTGATCATAACAAATGTCCATACCCATACATACATACATACATACATACATACATATATATACATACATATATATATAATATATATATATATATATATATATATATATATATAGTTGTTCACGAAACTGTTGAGTGTTGCGCTGTTTTCATCGTTAAAATCCACAAAAACTGGTTTGGATTCCTAGATTTTGCCGGAATACATTACCAATAATAGAAATTATGTGGAAATCAATAGTTTAAGACTTCGCGATTAATAATTTGAAAACGTTTGAATATTTTAACTTATATATATATATATATATATATATATATATATATATATATATATATATATATATCAAATATGAAATTAATTATAGGCTATAACCTGCGTCCAAAAATGTTTTCGGAACTTCCATTCGAGATGTTCATGTCTCTCAACAGATAGAAACAACTTTAGTGGTTTTAAGAAAAACAGTTTAATATTGGTTTTGGATTCTTAAAACAGTCGTATCTTTTGCATACAAACTCCGTATTGGACGTTTTTTATATTTTTGGAAACAGGGAAAAACGTACTACGAGACCAGAGTGTTTGTTATTCTCAAAACGGCTTAATACAAAATTTCATTTTTTCAGACGCATTCCCAAGGTTGTCGTTTGAGCTGTTTGTCTTGTTTGTTAGATTAAGTATTTGGAAGTAAGATACCTTCTGGTGTCTTGTAATAGTTGAAATACCTCATTTAAATCACATAAGATGCATTAAAACTTAATGCATAAAATTACAAATAGATTTACTATGACCTTGGTCGTTTATAATCTTTAACCTAAATTCTTGAATGTCACTGTGAAGAGCACCTATGAGAGTTACTTGGGGTGTTGAGGAATGAGAGGTTGTATTGCAAGTGTGACATCCCAAATTTTACATTTGATTAAAAACAATATTTCTTTATGTTTATTTAAAATTGATTATTATTTTTATGTTTTATTAGTGCGGAATGTATCTCAAAACATTATTAATGTGAAATGATATTGTTAGGTGGTATTTATGCACCTTTTTGTGCACCTTTTAGTCCCATTTTATGCATATATTTAGCACAATTGTTCTTCCGTTTCCTTGCATTATATCATATTCATGTTAGTCTCTAGAACAACCTTATTTGCACACTTTTATATCTTTTTCAGGTAAATCGGAGGTTAGAACGCGCTTTGGGAAGTGTCGGGAAGCATTGGTGAAGATTTCAGGACGATCGGGCGAAGAACGAAAAAGTTGGAAAATCAAGTTTGGAATTGGAGTCAGAGAGGTACACGGGGCGTGTTGAATTTACACTGAAAAGTGGGCACGGGACATGTTTGACCAAAATAGGAGCTGTTGACCATGTTGAACACGACCCGTGTCAGTTTAGTGCAAATCAACACGGGGCGTGTTGCTGAACACGACCCGTGTCAGTTTAGCCTATTTTAACACGAGCCGTGTTCGACCCAGAAACCAACTTTTGGCAGTTTTTTCTATCTTTCATATTACGGGTTGAGGGTCATTTTTTAGACACACACAACATATCAGAGCACCATTGGAGAGGAGAATTCAAAGGTTTTTGCAAGGGTTCGTCCGTTAATCATTTGGAAACATTATTTCTAGTATTTGTAAGTTGTAATTGCACTTTAATTCCATCTTTTATTCTTGTGATCTTGTTCTAGCCATGTGTGGCTAGAACCCTAGTTTCTCCAATTTCATGTTTTGACTTCTTGGTAGTGACTTCAATCAGATGACATGATATTTGTTCTTAATTTCTATCTAATGAATTTGATTTTGCTTCAATCGAATGTTTGATTCTAATTATGATTCTTATTGGCCATTTGAATTAGGGTTAGGTCATTCAAGTTATCTCTTTCACAAAATCCGTAATTGTTTTGTGAAATTGAACAAGTAACAAGCATTAAATTGATCTCTATTGAATGAATTTAGTGTATATCTTATTCATACACTTTTACACTCCCGAGCTTATGAGGAGTATTGGGTGTTGTTGGGAACATTCACATAAAGCTTCATGCAATCTTATAATCTAATTCTAAGAGCTTGTTTAGATTAGGTTAATAAGGTTAGGGTTAATCAAAGAGTCTTGTTTTGATTAATTAATATGGTGAATGGGAAGTGTTAGAGCTTATTAGCACTTTCAAGTACCAACTTAGATAGAACTGAACGAATATTGTGTCATCTTTGAGTCACATTGCTAAATTGTCATACATGGGGTTGGAGTCCTTACAAATTCTGAATTTAATTCACGCATTTAGTTGATTGCTTATGTTTTTAATTGTTTGTATAAGCATTACATTCTAAACCCCCCTCTATTTACTATTGATGACCATAGTACCTTGTGCAAATAGGTATAGAACAATTGTCCCGTGTCTCTGTGGATCGACCCTACTTGCCTTGTACTACCTTTTAGTGCAATATAGTGGGATTATTTTGGAGTATATCGTACCCCTTTATTTGTTGGGTTTGACACGCCTAACAAATTGGCGCCGTTACCGGGGAGACGGTGTTACTAATTGTTTATGCCTAGATCTTTTCGTATAGGTACGCCATTGTCAATTGATTCGGAGATAGAGAAGACTGCAAAGAAGTTAAGGAAGCAAGCCAAGCTTCGTAAGAGGAAACCAGTTTCCGGTACTCCTTCATCATCCAATCCCCCGGTCATCAATGTTTGGGAGGACATACCCCTCTCAAGTGTATCCCCATCAGAAACAGATAGCCCATCACTCTCACCACAACTAGCCTCACCCATAAATATCACTCCACCCTCTTCACCTATTCATAATATCCTAAACAGTTCACCTTCAAAAACCACAACCAATTCTCAAGCCATGGCACATAACCCTAGAGGGAATCAAGGTCCTCCAAAACCACCACCCGAACAAACTCTACGTCAATGGTCAAGACAAGAGGTGACTCAACAACCTCTTTGCATCACATACCCAGCCGCCACCAACCTGGAACTAAAATCCGGGCTTATCCACTTACTCCCAACTTTTAGAGGATTGGAGAACGAAGATCCTCACAAGTTCCTCACCGAGTTCCATGTAGTATGTGTGGGTATGAAACCACACAATGTCACGGAGGACCAAATCAAGCTTAGGGCAGTCCCCTTTGCGGTGCAAGACGCGGCCAAAGATTGGCTTTATGACCTTCCACCGGGGACGGTAACTACTTGGGTAGATCTTGCGAGATTGTTGTTGGAAAAGTATTTTCCTGAGATGAAAGCTTCTGCCCTACGGAGGGAAATCATTGGAATCAAGAAGCACAAGAGAGAAGCTTTTCACACATATTGGGATCGATTCAAGAAACTTTGTGCTCGATGCCCAAAGCATGGAATTACCGAATACCAGCTCCTCCAATATTTCACTGAAGGAATGAATCCAATGGAAAGAAGGCTTCTTAATGCCTCCAGCGACAGATCTTTACCCGACAAGACTCCTACGGAAATCCGCAATCTAATCAAGAACATGGCTGAAGATTCCAAACATTCAAGCCATGATGAAGAATGCTACACGGATGCACCCTGGGGTGTAAAAGAAGTTCAAACTCCTCAGATTGAAGCTCAATTGTCCGAGCTCACAAAAGTAGTCATGATGTTAGCCAAAGACAAAGGTGTGCAGCCCACACCCCGCCCATGCGATATTTGGACTCAAGTGGGGCATCCAACCGACATGTGCCCTCAGCTCAAGAGGAACATTATGAAGAAGCAAAATCCATGGGAGGTTTTCTTGGGTCTAATCAAAGGGGATATGAGCAGCCACGGGGTGATCAAAGATGGAGTAACAATCAAGGTTGGGGAGGACATCAATAGGAAAATTATCAACCAAGTCAACCACATCAATACCAGCAAAGACCACCTTTTCCACCACAAAACTTCCAGCTAAGGCAGCCACAACACCCTCCTCAACAATCGGGTTCATCAAGTATGTCCTTAGAGGACATAGTGAAGAGTTTGGCAACTAGTACACAAGCTTTCCATCATGAGACAAAAGCAAGCATAACGAACTTAGAGAAACAAGTTTCACAGCTTGCCACTTCTGTAAGCAAATTAGAATCTCAAGGAAAGTTACCTGCACAAACTGAAACAAACCCAAGGCACAATGTGTGTGCCATCACATTGAGAGGCGGAAAGAGCTATGATGGTCCAAAAGTGTCGGTTGATCACAAGCAAGAAGAAATAGTGGTCGAAGAAGCAACCAAAGAAGAGAAGAAGGAAGAGAAAACAGTCAAAAAGAAGCCCTTCATCACTGAGTCTAAAGCCACACCTGCTCCATTTCCCGAAAGATTAAGGAGCTTGAAGAAAGAACGGGAGGAGAGTGAGATCATGCAAATGTTCAAGAGAGTTCAAATCAACATTCCACTCCTTGAGGTCATCAAGCAGGTACCTAGATATGCAAGGTTCCTTAAGGATCTTTGTGTATCTAAAAAGAAATTAAAAGGAAATCAAGTGATAACAGTTGGGGAGCATGTATCCGCGGTTTTGCAAAAGAGGATGCCCCCGAAGTGTAAGGATCCCGGTGTATTTACCGTACCTTGCAAATTGGGGAATCTTCATGTACCTCGAGCCATGCTCGATCTAGCTGCATCCGTAAATTTCCTACCATATTCTCTTTTCAAATCAATTGGTGTAGGAACATTGAGAAAAACCGGTGTGATCATCCAACTTGCCGACCGGTCTTTGGTACACCCAAAAGGTGTACTAGAGGATGTGTTAGTGCAAGTCGATGAATTTATCTTCCCAGCTGATTTTTATGTCTTAGATATGGGAGATGATGACTCTCCAAGTTCAAGTTCCATACTTTTGGGTAGACCTTTTCTTAAAACTTCTAAAACAAAAATTGATGTCTACAATGGAACTTTAAGTATGGAATTTGACGATGAAGTTATCAACTTCAATGTTAATGAAGAAAAAAAGGTTCCTTCTGATGTTCCATCTGTTAATTTTGTGAATATGATCCAACAATTGGCTGAAAAGTGCTTAAACTCGACTAACAATGATTTTGTGGAGTTAGTCTTGTCACAAAAATTAGACAGGTACAAAGCCGAAGAACTTGCAAAGGAGGGCAGTACAAACGAGGAGGTGCTGGAGATTTTGAAATTCAAGGATGATAAGCACATGTGGATTGATGGAAGAGAAGTAGAGTCACCCACCACTAAAGCCAAATTCCTTCCACCGGTGGAACAAGCACAAGATTCGGGAGCAAAAACTCCACCGGGCTCTATAAAGCAAATACATGTCGAGAAGGAGAGCACTCAACCGGTCATCAACTCAATTAAATTATCGAAGAAGGAAGAGAGTGAGTTGATAACCATGCTGAACAAATACCAAAAAAGGATTGAGTGGACAATCTCTGATATAAAAGGGTTAAGTTCTTTTTGGTTTATGCGCAAAAAGAAAGCCAAAGGAAGGTTGAAGGTTCCGTTGAAGGAGGTGGCAAGAAGATTGATGTGTTGGAGAGGCCCAAATACTTAGAACGAAGCATATGCGGGGGCAAATCGAGCCAACGACTTGAAACAAGGGCGGCTAACCGGGAGGCAACTCGGGGGTATTTCTGTCTTTTACTTAAAAACAATTTCCATTTCTTTGAGTTTTTGGTTTTCAATGTTCCAAATGCATTCAATCATGATTTAAAATCACCAAACGGACCTAGGAATGCAAAGTATTTCATTTCCAAGAGAGGGAAAATTTCAAATTCATTGACTTTTAATCTGGACCCGTCAATAGTTGACTTTTTGACATTTTGACCCATTGACTTTTAATCTGTCCCAAACTTGACTATGGAAGCTACATCTTCCAAAAGACCAAGACAAACCAAATCATCCGCCCGCCGTCGGAAGCCTAGGACTCCATCACCTCCATCCAGATCTCCATCACCTCCATCTAGGTCCCCAACACCCCCAGCCGACCCATCTCATTGTGGTGTCGTATGTTTTGACCCAATTCAACAGGGCAAACTTGAGTCATTCCTTAAACGGGGTCATGCCATCCAAAAATTCGTGCATGTTCCAACCCTAAAAGAGTTGCATGTTTACAATCAAGTGAAAACCCTGTTTCGCAACATAGGGTGGCACAGCTTGTTGAGGGTCCATGAATTGAGCTATAAAGTCCAAACAACTGAGTTTCTATCCTCAGTTTATTTAGACCATGGGGTCCTCTACTTCCGTATAATGAATCAAGACTATGAAATCTCCTTGGATCAAATCAATGCCATTGTGGGCGCCCCAACGGAAAACACATTTGGCCCCACTGACCCAATCCAAGGATACTTTGACATGACTTGGTGGAACCAGCTCACCCAATTACACCCATATGTCTCTAGCGCTACTAAAGCCTCATCACTTATCCATCCTGTGATTAAGGTAGCCCACAGAATCATTGCTTCGCTCGTCGCCCCTAAGAGGAGCGAAGCACCATCAGGGCGCTGGAACTCAAAATCCTTTATGCAATGACCCTTCCCGAGAATAACCTCATTCCTCATTATGGTCGGTTTCTGTGCCACAAGCTCATCCGCCTTAGCACATCCCGATCGGGAAAGATTGTTTGCGGGGGTATTGTCAGCATGCTCGCCAAGAGCGCCCACATCCGAGCCCTATACCCCGGTCGCCATCAGCCACTACCGGGTGAGCCTTATCTCACCACTACTGTCCTTGAGTCCATGCGACTCTTCCGTTCGGCAGGCGATGTGTGACATCCCCATTTTCACGGCCAGAAAAGACCGATTTTTATTTATGCTTTATAAAAATCAGAGTTCTTCTTATAATAAAACTATTGCAGAATTTGTTCCCAGAAAAACATGATAAATACGTTATTAAAACATTTCCGAGGAAACGTACTTTATTCATTTTAAAACGTTTGGGATGTCATCGTCAATACAGGAACATAAGCATAAACAGAACTTACATTTATTTACACTAGTGATCTACATCTCTTTAAATCTCTCAGTGTAAAGTGACTTCGTATCAACACCTGTGATATAAATAAACTGAGTGGGTCAGGTTGGGAAACCTGGTGAGTACATAGGGTTTTCAACCCATAATAATATAATTATTATGTTTAAACAATCAAACAATCAACCCAATTACCCATCCCCATTATCTTCTTTAGTCTTAAGGATCTACCCTAAGAATCAGCTATTCCTCGTTTATTTAGTCCTAAGGATCATCCTAAGGAATCGACACGAAGTCCATCATTACCAAGGCTTATAGAATATATCTGGTGAACACATAGTCCAAAACATCTGGTAAACACTTAGTTCAAAAGTAACTAGTGAACACACTTAGTTCAAAATACCTAGTGAACACACTCAGTTCAAAGATACGTAGTGAACACACTCAGTTCAAAAATACCTAATGAGCACCTAGTTCAAAAATACCAACATGTTACGAAACTGCTATCGTTCCATTGGACCGTCTAGTATCGTCCATAGTCGTCATCTATACTCCACTAGATGACTGGATCACTGACAACATTGATGTCTCCCATCGTGTTATCACAAAACAACTATTTCATCTACCCATGTTTTTCCCAACACGTTTTGTAGATATAAAATACGTATACAGTTTAAATCATTTAAAACATGTATAAAAATCTTTCACTCAGCATAGACAGCAAGTATTCAGACAATATGTACACATAGCACGTAATTTATATTAAAATACTTCATATCTATGTGTAAGATGAAAGGGACTATGCACTCACAACACGCAAATTATATCATAAATACTTCATATCTATGTGTAAGATGAAAGGGACCATGCACTCACCTGAGAAGGTGGTGACTTGGTACTCGGACAACGCTTCGTTTATTTTAAAATAATTTCCTTCGACGAAACCTAGTATTATCACCAAAAGATTTTAGTCTATTATTCGCCGAGACTAATTAATAGTCTAGATATTATTGCTATTATATAAGCGTTAAAAAAATACTTATATAACTCATAATAATAGCCCAAGTATTTATTATATGTTCTTAATAACGTTAATATAATTAAATAAAAACTATATTAAAAATAGCGTAGGCGTAGCTCACTTATAGCGGCGTTTCCGAGCCGAAAAGCTCTTCTTCTCGGAGCCGTCAAGCACTCCGGGGCTTCCGCCTCGTGCTAGGGAGGTTCCCTAGGCTTTTCGAGGGATTTCGGGGCTAGAGAGAGGTTCTAGAGAGAGAGTAAAGAGAAGAAAGAATGGGAAAGGTGTGAAGAAAATGAGGGTGGGAGAGGTGGTATTTATAGGGTGAAAATGGCTGAACTTGGTGCCACATGTCACCATCTAGTGCCAAGACTTGGGCAGAAAGCAATGGCCAAGATTGTGCCACATCACCCATTTTCGCACAGCACACTTCCGACTTCTAAAATCCGTAACTTTCACATACGACCTCCGTTTTTGACGTTATTTATATCTACGCGTAGGTAAAAATAATATATACAACTTTCATTTTGACTCCGTCAGCTAATTCTTGACCGATCTTAAATTTAACAGTACGAGGCGTTTTGACTGTTAAATGAGCGCAAAGAATTCGTAACTCCTTCATACGGACTCCATTTTCGTCTGCCTTTTTACCGTTGAGTTCCTATTAATGAGATCTTCAACTCTCATTTAGGTCGCATAAGCCAAAAAGCACTCGAACTAAAATTCGAGTTTCGGGCTGTACACTGCTAAGCCGGATCTTAGAAAAATTATAACTTCTTCATACGAAGTCAGATTTGGGCGTTCTTTTTATGGATTTTCTTGGTTTAACATATTCTACGACTTTTGTTTAGATCACTAAGGCTAAATCTCGCTCTATCATAAATTCACTTTTTACGCTTCCCGGTGTCGTGTCGGTTCCATCGCGAAACTTCGACGAGTCATAACTTCTTCGTTATAACTCGGATTTCAGCTTTCTTTATATGTACGAACACGTTGTGACATATACTAAAACTTGGCTCAAATTATTTATTCTAAATAATATTTTGTCGAAAAGTCATTTTCGACCCCTATTATATCTAAATTGACTAGCCCGGATCTACGGGCATTACAATTATCTCCCCCTTAGGATGATTACGTCCCGGAATCATCAACGAAACAGGGCAGTACTACATACATTATCTCTTCATCCTAGGTAGTAACTGTAACTTCTATGTTGCTTCGAATGGGTATCTAACTCTTGGACTTCTTGATTGCAGGCGGTGCTTGGTCTTGCACCTGCTCGTTAGACTTTCAGTCATGACTTTCGTGTCACAAGCTCATTCTTTATCAGAGACACCTTCTTCTTCTTAGGACAAGGTAACTTGATTGCTACAATTGATCGAGGTGTCATATTCTAATGACCTATTATCGTACGTAACAACGCTTAGACTCAGGTCTCTTAGAGTCAAATTCCGGAATGAAATATGCCTTCCTTCATTGTCTAATGTGATATAATCACATTTTAACATGTAGCATTTCTAGCTACCAACTTTTTTTAACAACGAGCGCGATACTTCTATTGATCGCTTTGATTTCAATCGTTTGGTTTAAGTCGGACGCTACATCAAACTTGGTTCTCTGAACCACGTAACCTACTCATCGTAGTCGGACTCAATGTGCTATGACCACTAGGGTCGGGATAACAACAATTTTCTTAGTCATTACCGAAACAATGGTAACGGCATACTTGAATAAAACGAAATCAATTACTAGCTTCTTGGTAACCTTGTGACTTTCCCTGATCCAAGCGTGAGTCCTGTGCTTCCGGTAGTATATGCATCTACTACCTTTCACACCTACTCATACTCGTACCAAGTATTATCTCGCAGTTTTCCAAGTCACCATTCAAAAAAATCACATAACAGTTTAACACACCAGATAACAAAACGAAGATTTTATTATTTCTTGAAACTATTACATAGGTGTTCAAGTTCACCTTAGACTATGCATCTAATAGGCTACATCATATGGTTCTATCTCTTTGGCTACCTCGTAGCTTGATCTTTGGGTATGAATTCCTCATCCTTGGTTCCTCGCATTGTTTTCTGCTTCGTCGAGGATCATGAGGAATGCCCTTGGCCTCGGTGGCGTTTCTGGTCTTGCTACTTTATTTTTCTTTGGGCAATTCCTTGAAAGATGCCCCCTTTCTTTACAATCATAACACAACCTCTTGTTGGATGTACACTCATTGGCGTAATGCCCAGACTTTCCACACTTGAAATATGTCACCTCTTCGCCGCATTTTCCAAAGTGTTTCTTCTTGCATTTATCACACCATCTTGCTTCACCTCCTCCTCCAGGCTTCGAGAATTTTCTCTCCTTGTTGGACCTTGAAGATCCTTCAAACTTCCGCTTCTCTCCTGCCTTATCTTTTTCTAGACCCTTTTCCCTTATCTGGGCCTCTACATTCTTAGTTGTCCTAACAACTATTTTCAAGGTAGTTGCCATTTTGACCATTGGTCCAAATTCAGTGGGTAATCCGTTAGCAAACCTATCAATCTTGGAGAGTTTAGTAGGCACCAAGTAGGGGAATAGCTTCATCCTCTCGGTGAATGCGGTGTCATACTCATCAACACTCATCTTCCCTTTCTTCAGGTTCTGAAACTCGTTGTTTAGGTCTATCAGATCTATCTCTGAGCAGTACTGGATTTTCAAATGTTCCAAGAACTCTTCCCATGGCATCCTTAAGGCTTCTCCTCGTGGCATCGTATCTGCCAATAGCTTCCACCATCTCAAAACTCTAGTTTTCAGATGTCTTACAGCGAAGACGGTCTTCTGTTTCTCGCTACAGTCACAACTCTCAAACACCATCTCCATCTCGGAGATCCAATCCATAATCTCAACAGGCTTTAGGCTTCCTGAGAGACTTGGTGGTTTCGCACCCAAGAAATTCTTGTACATTCGCCCATCCTTGTCATTTCTCCTCTCCGGGCCATCCCTTTGATCACCTTGAGTCCCCACTTGACTCACTTGGCAGCTGTAGTTCCCTTCCTCCGATTGCTCGGGAATCAGCTCGGGTTGCTCAGTGGGCATAGTAGGTTCGTCCCTATTCAACATCCGCCTCATTTCTTCCCTTTGTTCAGCTAGCATAACCCGAATCATGGCTTGAAATTTAGCCATGGTGACTGGCTCAGGTGCAACTTCTTCTACAACAGGTATTTGTTGAACCACTGGGGGTTGGTTCCTATTCTCATTTGCATTCACGTTTCCGCTACGGATCCTTGCCATCTTGATCTATACACCGAATAAGGTGAATCTAGACCCTTACATAGGATTGACGTTTAAATCATCCTTATCGCTCCGAAACGTTTATATGCTAGTTCTAATATCGTATTCGTACGTGTAGATCCTAAACACATAAGGTTTCCAGATCCGGTCGGCAACAGACCATAGATCCGATCAAACTATAGCATAACAAATCATTTAGCACATAAAAGTAATTTAGGCATCATTCCTAAATTAAGCTAGTGCTCACACCTCACAATCATCGCTTAGCATTCTATGT